AAGTTCAGATGGAGCAGATAATCCACTTGAACAGTTTGATGGTTGTGAAATAAATCAGAGTTCATTCTGCTTCACTTTAGTTTTTAGACTTCCTCCTTTCTGCAGCAGGAAACAGTTTGATCAGGAGAAGATCAGAGTTGATGTTCAGATGAATGATTTGTGTTTCCTCTGCAGGTGAAGGTAGAAAGTGTGTGTGAGCTGATGTGAATTCAGCAGCATGGATCAGTGTGAGGACAGAGAGGAGGGAGTCCCTCCCTCTAAAACCACTCTGTGTGGGGAACATGAGAGCCAGAGCAAAGATCAGAGGTGACATCTCCAACTGTCCACGACTCTTCTCCATGTCAGAGCTCAGCACTCACAGCAACACACTGACTTTATTCACAGGAACACACCTGGACCTGGACCTGGACCTGGACCTGGACCCAGCTGTGTGTCCTTAAAGAGCAACTTCTCAAAGGATTTTCATATTAATTTCAAACAAAGAGTTTCCTCCAACAACCAGTAAGTTTCTCTCAGAGTCCAGTCGAGGCTGGATGATATTAAAGATAATTGTTTTCTGTTGAACGACTTTGAGTTGATTTTTATTTCATTTCTCTGAGACTAAGTTGCTGCTTTCTGTCTGTAACTTGTTTCAAACTCTTGTTGAACAAAGAGAATAAATGTCACATCATGTGAGTTTTAAAGGATGCTGATTGTGTCGTGAACAAAGCTGCTGATGACAGAATCCAGCAGGAACCAGAACCAAACTGAGCCTTCAGCTCTGCTTTTTATTCTTCTCATGTTCAGATGATCCATCAGATGATTTTAGATGAAATGATGAACATCAGCTGAAGTTGGAGCTCATTACCGTCTCCATGGTAACAGAAACTCTCAGCTGTCTCAGACTGACAGTTACAAACATCCAGGATCAAATCTCCAGTGGAAAAACCAAGACCCTCCTCTAAAACTCTGACTGACAGAGACAGAACCAGAACTCCCATCACAACCAGTTTCACTGTTAGTTTCCAGAACATCAGCAACAATCTGGACTTTTTGCTGGTTTTACTAGTTTTTGGTACCAGTCTGGTCTCCTGTAACTGGTTTAAAGTCTGAATGGTTTCCAGCTGATTTCCACGTCTCCTTCATTCTGGGACAGAGTCCGAGCTAACAGATCTGGTCTAAACCCTCCTTGGTTCTGGTCTCTGAGTGGAGGTTCAGGTTTTTCCAGCAGCTGACACAAAGAAAGGCTGCTGTGTTCAGCTTGTTGTGTAGTTTCAGAGAACTTCCAGAACCAGAGAGTTCAGGCTGTGATTCTGAGTCCACCTTCTCCTCTCTCAGTCTCTAACAAACACAGAGGAGGCTGCAGCTCTCTGCTCTGCTGCTGACAATAATCTGGATTACTCAACTACACACTCATCCACTTTAATCCAGTTCAAGAAGAACAACATGTATGCTGCAGGAAGAGGAGGAGAACTGGAGAAGATGGACTGTAGAATTACAGATGTGGTGTCCTGCAGCTGGAAAGGATCGTTTCAGGATCAATAACTGAGAACAAATAATCCTGTCACTTTCATCCAGAATGTTCCAGAATCCAGACTCAGGATCTGACACCAATCACCATGACTCAGTCATTAAATGTAACTTTTTTAACAGGATCCATCAGAGACTCAAAGCTGGACCTGAACCCAGCTGTGTGTCCTTAAAGAGCGACTGGTCAAAGTATCGTCTTATTGATTTTAAATCAGTCCAGCCTCCATCAGCAGAGAGGTGAGCTGTCTCTAAATGTTGTAACTGTGTAAAATGTAACTGAGTCAGTCTGAAATGTTTTCATTCCAACATGTGTTTCATGTGAGCTCAGCTCTTTTTCACACATTTCTATGTTCACATGTGAAGCGGTGTGTGTTGGATGTTTTCTCCAAACTCAGCAGTCAAAGTGAAAGAATGGAGGTTGTAGGAGGAGTTTCTGAGTGTCTGTAGGTCACCAGCTGGTCCAGCAGGTGTCACCTTTGACCTTTGCTTCAAACACAGTGTAGGTAGGAACTTCCACTCAGGTGGCAGGTGTTGCTGGATGGAGGAGGACAAATAGTTTCTGGATCCTGACTCCACATGGACCTTTAGCTGGTGTTTGTCTCTGTGTGGACAGACACAAGTGGAGCTAATTCTTCATGATTCCTCCACAGAGTGGACCAGCAGAGCTCAGAGGTTCCCAGTGCTCAGTCTGCCCAGCAGCATCAAACACAGCTGGACTCCATATTTATGGTGCGTTCATGTACAACAAGTACTTTTCCATGTGTTGTGTTCACTGTCATCTCCATGCTGCACTTTGTAGACCAGTGGACAGTCAGTCTGTCCAACATGTAGACCAGTGGACTGTCAGTCTGTCCAACATGCAGACCAGTGGACTGTCAGTCTGTCCAACATGTAGACCAGTGGACTGTCTGTCTGTCCAACATGTAGACCAGTGTACTGTCAGTCTGTCCAACATGTAGACCAGTAGACTGTCAGTCTGTCCAACATGTAGACCAGTGTACTGCCAGTCTGTCCAACATGTAGACCAGTGGACTGTCAGTCTGTCCAACATGTAGACCAGTGGACTCTCAGTCTGTCCAACATGTAGACCAGTGGACTGTCAGTCTGTCCAACATGTAGACCAGTGGACTGTCAGTCTGTCCAACATGTAGACCAGTGGACTGTCTGTCTGTCCAACATGTAGACCAGTGTACTGTCAGTCTGTCCAACATGTAGACCAGTAGACTGTCAGTCTGTCCAACATGTAGACCAGTGTACTGTCAGTCTGTCCAACATGTAGACCAGTGGACTGTCAGTCATTCCAACATGTAGACCAGTGGACTGTCAGTCATTCCAACATGTAGACCAGTGGACTTTCAGTTTGTCCAACACGTAGACCAGTGGACTGTCAATCATTCCAACATGTAGACCAGTGGATTTTCAGTCTGTCCAACACGTAGGCCAGTGGACAGTCAGTCTGTCCAACACGTAGACCAGTGGACAGTCAGTCTGTCCAACACGTAGACCAGTGGACTGTCAGTCTGTCCAACACATAGACCAGTGGACTCTCAGTCTGTCCAACATGTAGACCAGTGGACTGTCAGTCTGTCCAACATATAGACCAGTGGACTCTCAGTCTGTCCAACATATAGACCAGTGGACTGTCAGTCTGTCCAACATGTAGACCAGTGGACTGTCAGTCTGTCCAACATGTAGACCAGTGGACCGTCAGTCTGTCCAACATGGATCTGATGTTTGGCTCCATGATTTCAGTCTGATGTGTCATTCAGATATTTTTCTGTTCCAGCTGCTGGAGGACAACATGGTCACTTTTGTGAAGAACGAGCTGAAGAAGATCCAGAAGGTTCTGATCCCAGATTACCCAGAATGCTTAGAGAGTCAGAGAGAGGATGAGGAGGTGCTGGAGGCTGAGGATGAAGAGCAGAGGAGGAGCAGAGAGGCATTGATGAAGATCACAGTTTACTTCCTGAGGAGGATGAAGCAGGAGGAGCTGGCTGACCGTCTGCAGAGCAGTAAGAGGATTTCTATAAACATTTAACTTTTGAGATTTCATTGTTGAGAGGAATTTATTCTTTAATTAATAAATGTATGATTTTGTTTGTTCAGGACAAGTTGCAGCAGTTTCTCATCGTAACCTTAAAAGTTGTGTGAAGAAGAGGTTCCAGTGTGTGTTTGAGGGGATTGCTAAAGCAGGAAACCCAACCCTTCTGAATGAGATCTACACAGAGCTCTACATCACAGAGGGAGGGACTGGAGAGGTCAATGATGAACATGAGGTCAGACAGATTGAAACAGCATCCAGGAAACCACACACACCAGAAACAACCATCAGACAAGAAGACATCTTTAAACTCCCACCTGGAAGACATGAACCAGTCAGAACAGTGATGACAAAGGGAGTGGCTGGCATTGGGAAAACAGTCTTAACACAGAAGTTCACTCTGGACTGGGCTGAAGACAAAGCCAACCAGGACATCCACTTCATGTTTCCATTCACTTTCAGAGAGCTGAACGTGCTGAAAGAGAAGAAGTTCAGCTTGGTGGAACTTGTTCATCACTTCTTTACTGAAACCAAAGAAATGTGCAGCTTTGAAGACTTCCAGCTTGTGTTCATCTTTGATGGTCTGGATGAGTGTCGACTTCCTCTGGACTTCCACAACAATCAGATCCTGACTGATGTTACAGAGTCCACCTCAGTGGATGTGCTGCTGACAAACCTCATCAGGGGGAAACTGCTTCCCTCTGCTCGCCTCTGGATAACCACACGACCTGCAGCAGCCAATCAGATCCCTGCTGAGTGTGTTGGCATGGTGACAGAGGTCAGAGGCTTCACTGACCCACAGAAGGAGGAGTACTTCAGGAAGAGGTTCAGAGATGAGGAGCAGGCCAGCAGGATCATCTCCCACATCAAGACATCACGAAGCCTCCACATCATGTGCCACATCCCAGTCTTCTGCTGGATCACTGCTACAGTTCTGGAGGACGTGTTGAAAAGCAGAGAGGGAGGAGAGCTGCCCAACACCCTGACTGAGATGTACATCCACTTCCTGCTGGTTCACACCAAAGTCAAGAAGGTCAAGTATGATGGAGGAGCTGAGACAGATCCACTCTGGAGTCCAGAGAGCAGGAAGATGATTGAGTCTCTGGGAAAAGTGGCTTTTGAGCAGCTGCAGAAAGGAAACCTGATCTTCTATGAATCAGACCTGTAGTGAATCACGTGAGGTACGTGTCACTTGTTGTATGACAAATATATGAATTATATATGCATACAATATTCACGAGTTCTTCATTTTTCTGACTGTGTAATGCCGTGCATTGAATTTAAAGGAATGCGAACGAGAGACGTTATTACCTTTGACCCATCAAATGAATGGAATCATTTATTTTCAGAATCAAAGTTTAACATCAAACATTTACATTAATTTGGCAAAAATATGAAAATAATAACAGACAGTTTCACAAATAATGAACTTCAAATCACTCGGCGGTGATTTGAGGACTTTGCTTCAGATACTTCTAAGAATATCTGTACTGATTTATGAGAGAGAAGAGTTTAAGATGAAAGGAGATTATCTTACAGAGAACTATGTGAGGGAATTTAATCTGTTTGACCAGAAGTTGCACGCTCCCATCAGGTATCTCAGCTTTGCCCACGGTACACTTGGTCGAAGAAGAAGTCTTTACCTGGTTTGACGATAGATCAGCTCAGTAAGAGTCCTTCAGACTGTTTCAGCGCCTCCGTTGAGAGCAGCTAAAAATCCTCGGAGAGTCGTGCGTGGTTAGCTCAAAACAGAATTATAATCCCAAACGTCTCTGGTTCTTCATAACTCCAAACTCTTCATAACTCTTGGACTCTTCATTGCTCTGAAGCTTTCAGAACCGGCTGCACTCTCAATCTTGGAACTCTCACATTCTCCAGAACTCTACTGCACTCTGGCAGAACCGGGAAGTTGTCACATTTTAAATGAGTTTACTTCCGGGTTTACTTCAGAGCTTTCTGATTCGTGGATGGACCAGAAAGAGGAGTGGTTTTGACGTAAGGTGTTTATCAACAGTCGAGGTCAGAGAATGAAACTTGTTTAACAACTGGCAGAGAGATTATTGCAAAAAAGCAGACTTCGTGGAGTCAACTCTTGGTAATCTTCTGAAAAAGTTTAAACATGACATTTCTTCTTCAGTAAACATTTAGCTGACCGAAGCCTCAACTTTCACACACTTACGACTTGCTCATTTCAGACAGAAAATCAAGAAATGCATATTCAGGTGATTTCTTCTTGGAATGAGGAATAGAAATCATTACTTACTGTTTATGTAAAATAAAAATGAGTAGTTCTTTTCAACCTGTAAAGCATTGAGTGAACTAACACAATTTGATTATCAAAACATTTGTAAGACAGTAATGATTATAAAGAATTGTCTTTTCTGCTTGATTAATTCAAGAAAGAAAGTCATCAGATGGTTCAGACTTATTCAGATCAATGAAAATAACAGTCTCTGTCCATCTGGTAGATTTGAGGTCATCTGGTTCACTACAGTCCCCCCTTTGGAAATCATCACCTGTCCATGGGGATGAATTCCAACCGTGAACTTAGACCTTCAAATGTCCTTGAGCTTGATGTAATCCAGCAAGGAAGACCAAAGTCAGAAGTAATCCTTCAAGGAAGACTAAAGTCAGAAGTAATCCAGCAAGGAAACAAAGTCAAGGTAATTCCACAATGTTCTCGGTATTCCATTGTGTTGATTATAATCCCATATCGTCTCGATAATCCCATTGTAGCAATGCTTTAACCCCTTGGAAACAGAGTCTGTAATCCATTGGAAAAAGTCATATAATCCACAACGGTAAATCCACAGCGATTGGAAGTGTTGATTAATCAGCATACAGAGGGGTACCCTTGGATTGAACTGAAGAAGCGGCCACTGGATGAAGAGTTGAGACCAACGTCAGGATTGCAGGTCGCCTCCAGCGAAGGTTGTCTCCAGCGACGTCCAGCCTGTGCCGTTCTGGTTCAATGTGTCATGCAATTATGTGGTTTAAGGTGGGCTTATGAAGGGGATTTACATAAGGCCTTAAACTATATGCATCTGGTGTGTAAGCTATTATGGTTGGGAACAGCTACAACTACCAGTTAAGGGGTGGAGAATGCTGAAAAGGGGTAACTACAGGGGTTTATGCCTATAGAAAAGTGTTCCAAACTATTTTTCCATTTCTAACTTGGTTTAAGTTAGCTTTACATGGTAAAATATAGTTTGGTGTAATTGTCTGTTGTCTTTTAGACGAACGACTTGAGATTGGGTGTTTGGTTTTCCCATAAATGTTTTGGAAGTCTATGGCGAGACTTATCAAAAAGAATTAGCTATCCCCCCGAATAGAATTGTTCGAGTAGGTTCGGCTTAAGCGTTGTGAGATCAATGTAGATTATGGTACTCAAGGTAGCAATAATATACATTGACTCCGCAAAGATTGCAATTTAATGAATGAACTGCATGTTGGCATGGTTAAAGGCCTCTTAGTCTCTAACTTAACTACACACAAGATTCATTCTTACCTCAGAAACAACCAAAATCAACTAAACAACGTTCCAACACCGACAAGAGTAGTGACTAAGCATCTAGAAACATCGTTTCACTGCTTCTCCTCACCCTGGTTGCCAGATTTCAGTCACGCTGTCCCGTTTTATCAAGGGTAGGTCCTGCGAGTTTAAACTATGGTTAATTTTATTATCCATTAGTTATCTCCTGCTTGGATGACCCTTGTTCCCACGAGGTCAGATTTTGTGATGTCTTTGTCTCCTAAGGAGTTATTGCATGCCTTGTGTTGTTTAACCTGGTTACGGTGTACCCATTTAACAGTTGGCTCTTTTTGGCCTTTACTGATTTTTATCTGGTAGATAATTGGAGACACTTTGTCAGTTATCAGATGGGGTCCAGTCCATCTGGGCATCAGCTTACGGGCGAGAGTTCCGGTCCCGGACTCTACTCTCCCAGTTTTGGGTGCAAACGTGTAGTACCAGACCCTGTCTCCCACTTGGAGTTCCTCGTGAGAGGCCTTTTGGTCGTAGTACGCTTTGCGTCCTTCAGCTGATTTTTCCAGGTTTTTCTGTGCGAAAGCAAAAGTGTTCTTAAGATGTCTTTCCAAGTCTTTCATGTATTGTTGTGTGGTGTAGGCTGTTGCCATGGCAGCATCGCCTGGTTGGTACAACAGGTGCAGAGGGAGAGTCATTTGTCGACCCGTCATCATCTCGAAAGGAGCGATGCCAGTCGACGTGTGTGGAGTGGCCCTTATGGCCATGAGGACCAGAGGGAGTTTCACGTCCCAGTCCTTGTGGTTTGCGGCTACGTATTTTTTCAAAATACTCACCACAGTCCTGTTTGCTCTCTCAACCTGGCCTGAAGCCTGTGGGTGGTAGCCAATATGGAAGTTGGCTTTGACGCCTAGCGTCTTCCACAGTTCCTTCATTACTTCACCTGTGAAGTGTGTACCTTGGTCTGAGTTCACCCTAAGGGGAAGTCCAAACCTTGAAAATACATGATTCATTAACAACATAGCAGTGGTTTGTGCTGTGTCATTAGGGGCTGGTAGACATTCTACCCATTTGGTAAACGCGCAGGTTACCGTGAGAAAATATTTATTTCCTCTAGAGGTCTTAGTGAGTGGTCCGACCCAGTCAATCTGGAGGTCCGACCATGGAAATGCAATGCCTCTACTATGCAGTGGTGCTCTGTGAAGTGGTCTGGATGGTTGAAACTGGCCACAGATCAGGCACCCTTTTATGTAGTCCTTGACATCCTTTTTCATTCCAGGCCAATAAGCAATTTGTTTTAATGCTTTCAGCGTGGCATTGTCACCCTTATGTCCTGCGGACGGAAGGTCATGTGCATGGACTAACATCACCCCCCTGTGGTCATGGGGGACCACGAACACAGGTGAGGACGTCCGTCCATGAGCGAAAGTTAGGATGCCTTTAAGTAGTTTTAGCTGTTTTCGCAGCTGAAAGAGGACTTTGAGGTCTGGATTGGAATCCAGCTCGTCTTTCGATGGAGTGTATTTGTCTGGGTCAGTCAGATACAGCATCATCGAGTTAATTGCAGGATCCAACTTCTGAAGTTGGATGATGTCTGGGTCAGTCAGCATTGGGCGCACAGAAACTGTGTTATCAGCAGGTTTAGCTGCAGCTTGTGCACGTGTGACTGCCATTACCTCAGTTGTAGCTTGTGACGACTGAGTGTTGAGTAGCCAGGAGGGGTCGAAGGACCACGTGGGTCCGTCAGCGGCTCCTTCTTTGGCTAGGGAGTCTGCAAGGTCATTGTAGTGCTTGTCATCGCCTGGGACTCTAGAGTGTCCTGGAACTTTCTTCCAGAATATCTGTAGATCATGTGATGTCACTAAGTGGTCACATGTCATGAAAAGCTCTTTGTGTTTTACCACCTTTTTGTTGCTTGTGAGAAAACCGTTCTGTTTCCACAGAGCGAGATGACACAAGAAACT